CTCGGCAAGAATACTGGAGGGTTGCTGGGGCCCTCCTCCAGGGGATCTTCCCAACCCAGGGATGGAACCCGCATTTCTATAGTCTCCTGTATTGGCCAGTGGGTTCTTTACTACTAGCGCCACCTGGTTTTCCTTAGAGGGACGGAAAAACTTCCAAATGAAATCTTGACAACACCTAGAGTAAGGGTTATGGTCCATAGAGTCACCAAGAGTCAGACACGACTGAAGCAGCTTGGCCTGCAGGGTCAGGGTACCTGTGAGCTGGTCTCACGGATGGTTAATTTACAATAAGGGCCCACAGGGACCAGTAGACCTGACACATGCCTGGAGAATACCATCATATAGCGTTCTGACTGGTCCCTGCTGGTTTCTGGGACCTTGCCCAACTCCTCGAGGTATTTTACAAAACTGCATCATTTAAGAGAAAAGGCAAATGAAGGCTGGCTTTGTGTTCATTTTATTGGGGATTATGAAACTTTTCCTATGTGTGTTATTTCTCTTGTCGGAAGGAAAAGAAACAAGTGCTGGGTGTCTATTAACTGCTTCGTTTTTCCGCTATGAGTTGTGCTCTTCTGAAGGACAAAAGCTTAGCTAAACATTGTTACAAAAATGCTGTAATTAAGATTCATTTAGAGAAGTTTGGGTAAAAAATGTGAGAAGATTATCAAGTTATGACTCAGCCCAATTATGTAAATCTTTTTAAAAAGTAGTGGATGTTTCATAATAAGCTCCATTTAGAAATCTCTCTACTTTTCTCCTTGGGAAACTTATATTATGAATAGAGAGATGAAAAATCTGACATTTTGGAGACTCAGATGTTTAGAAATGAGAATATTCTATAAGATTGTTAAAGATTTTATAAGCCAATTTGGGGTTGTGGAATGGATTTATTTTATGTATCAAAAAAACAAGGAGTTTTGTAATTAAATTATCTGCCTACCTGCTAATTATCTTCTTATTCTTCTCTCTAGATCAGTGGATCTCATATTTGACCACACATCCGAATTACCTGGCAGACTTGTTAAAATCTACACTGCCCTCAGAGATTCTGATTCTGTGTGTAGGTCTGGGCTGGGGTCGGAAATTGCATTTTTCACTAGTTTCCACGTGATACTGATGTGGCAGATCTGAGACCTTACTTTGAGAACCACTGTTCTAGATCATTGTAAACCTGTCTACACAACAGAATTACCCAAGGAAGCTTTAAGAATACCGTGGTTGGCCGTACCAGATCAATTGAATCAGAACATCTCTGGGGTGGGGGGATCCTGGGCGTAGAATGTTTCAGAAGCAACTCATGTGATTCTGTTGTGTAGTCTGAGTTGAGAATCTTTGTTCTGGGCGAAACTTACTTATCTATGAGCCTTCAGAGATAATGATACCAAAAGCAGTTAGTAGCCAGCAGCTGGGTGCTTCTTAAGCTGCAGACTCCAGTGCCCTCTCTCTGGCCCGCTCAGGCTGCAGGGTGGCACCCTCCCAGGCCAGGGAGTATCAGTTTCGGGAGCCAGCTTGAAGTTTGTGTTATCAGCAAGTTTACAAAGGGTTCTCTGGGAACTTTCTTCTGCCTGATAATTGGGAAGGCAGCCTGAGTCAGAACAGGTTCACGTTGTACTTTCGCATGTGACAGCTAGTCTGGGAGACAATGAATCATTTCAGCTTTTTAAAAGAAAGGCAGGAAAGAAATAGTTCTTACTGCTTTCCCTGCTGTTTTCCTGTTTAAGCCCCAAACTGCAATCAGATCAAGTCGAGTAGAATTATCTGCATTTTTACAGATGGGTAAACTGAGGCCCAAAGGAGTTAAGCAAATTTCCCAAGGTCACAAGGAAATGGCAGAGTTAACTTGGGGCTGTCTGAGTCTAAAGGCAATAGGCCACTACATCACTTTTGCAAAATTCCTCTGGTGTTCCAGAAACGTGGATATTATGCAAGACTGACTACATAAGTTATAGGTCCCAGTGCAAAATGAAACCATGGAGCCTCTTGTTAAAACATTGTTAAGAATTCAAGAAGACAGCACCAGAGCATTAAGCCAAGCACGGGGCCCTGTGTGACCACCCAGATCATCCACCCATGAAGCCAGCCCTCTGTTCATCTGCACAGACCACAGCTCAAACATCCTGGGCAGATACGAAGGTCTGCTCAGAGGCACTGTGGTGGGGAGGTAGGAGGCCCCATCTGAGCATGGAGATTCTGGATTGTGGTAATAGCTCTGTGAATAATTTCCTGTTTTTCTTGCTGACCTTGAGCATGTTATTGAACCTTTCGGAGGTTCAGTTTACTTATCTGTAAAGTTGAGAGAGGGAAAAGTGGGGAGTGTTTCAATGTTTCTCAAACTTTATTTACATTTTATTTATATACTACATTTTTATTTATTTATTTTATTTATTTTTATTTTTTTATTTATATACTACATTTTTATTTATTTATTTTATTTATTTTTATTTTTTTATTTATATACTACATTTTTAATATAGTGGCTATGATTGTGGATTCTGGAATTACACCACCTGAGTTCTAATTTGGCTTTGCTATATTCTAACTATGTGACCTCAGTCAAGTGCCTTAGTTTCCTCATCTGTAAAATGGATCTGGTTGTGTGGATTAAAGAAGTTAATATAAGTGAAGCCTTGGGAATGATGGCTGATAGGTGGTAAGTGCCATATAAGTGTTATTTATCACTTTGAATCATATGGCACATGCACTAATGTTTTTTCTTCTGTTTAACTCACTTTTGAAATTTAAAAATAATTGGACTTGCCTGGTGGTACCATGGATGAGAGTCTGCCTGCCAGCGCTGGGGACATGGGTTTGATCCCTGGTCTGGGAAGATCCTACATGCCTTGGAGCAACTAGGCCTGTGTGCCACATCTGCTGAGTCCTTGGGCTGCAAATACTGAACCCTCGTGCCACAGCTACTGAAGCCTGCAAACACTGAAGCCTGTGCGCCTGGAGCCTGTACTCCGCAACAAAAGCCGCCGCCGCAATGAGAAGCCCAAGCACTGAAATTAGAGAGTAGCTTCTGCTCACAGCAACTGGAGAAAGCCTGAGAAAGCTTGAGTGCAGCAATGAAGACCCAGCACAGTCAAAATTAAAATAAATAAATTATTAAAAAAGTAATGATTTGAGTATGTCTGTTTTTGTAGTGTTTGTGAAAGTAATAACCATAGGATATTTTGAAAAGTTCATATACTCTCTAAAATCAGTCTAAATATTAACAGTGGAATGGTTACCACACTGTGGGTAACATTGTACTAGATATTGAAGGCTATATCTAGCTTGGATAGTCTAGGAAAAGATGAATTAATTCTTGGGTATTTGTGTCTGTGCATTTATTATTCATTTGACGAATACATGACTCTACACACTTCAGTCATTTCTACCCATAGTATCATCTTTCCATTGTTTTGCTGCTTGTTCCAGTGGCAAAATGTTTAAACAGAAGTTAGAGATTATGAATAAATTATGTAAATGCTTAGAACTTTGACAAGTCAGTGGGGTCCTTTCAAGAGATCCCTTAAAGTCTAACAAGAGATGAGGCTTAGGTCGTGGAAAATTGGTACAAAATGCTTACAGGAAGGTGCAGGATGGCCTTCAGAGGTGAGGAATCTTCTGGGAGACATATGCTCTTGCCTTTGATTACTGTGTTCCCCCCCAACTTCCCTCTGTCTAAAACCTATCTTGTTGTCCAGTTCAAATTCTGCCTCCTTAAAGTCCTTCCCAACTCTTCTGATTGAAAGTTTCCTTTTTCTTATCTGAAGAGTGCTTTATAATCACAGATAAGTATTTATTAAGCATGAACAACAGTATGGTTTGGGAACAGAGGTCACCACACTGAACACCCATATTCCTCATCTCAAGGAGTGGTTGGGCTACAACTCCATGAGTCTTTTTGTTGCCTTGCCCAGGCTGGTTGATTCACACGTATTTATTTTGCCTCCCTTATTCTTTACTTTCCTATTCCTCAAAGCACCTAAGGACACTCCTTAGCTAAGTATTTGTTGCCAGAGACCCCAGGGTTACCAAATTATATAGGAAATATAAAAATAATAAATAAGGAATCTTAAAATAAGCATTCACTTAAACATCTCTCTTAAGTTATCATGAGCACCTACCCCAGCCATTTCATCAGTAATGGTCAAATATGTTAAACATGTAATGTGAATGTAATATAAACTGATTCCAAAGGAAAATTAGAAATCTTGGGGAAGATACAGGATTGTCTGAAGGCAGTGAAAGTGAGTTTAGAGAGAGCAATGGTAATTCACTTAAAGCTGTGGCTATTGAGAACCTGACAGAGCCTTATCAGTTATCAACAGAAGAAGAGAAAATCAAGGATGATGACATGATAGGTATTTTCCAAGAAAATGATTGGAATATCAGTGGATGAGGAAAGATCTTGGGAAAAAATGAAATGCTCAAATATTTTGTGAAAGTTGATTAAAAGTGAGGACTATTAAATGGTGCCAGGATGTAATTTTGTCAAAAAATTATGCCAAGAATGCATACTTAATTCATATTTTGCTTGTTTAAAAATATGGCATGATTGCTATTTTAATTCTGTCCAACATAAGATAAATAAAATTCTTCATAATTATTAGTTTTTAAGAATTCCAATCAACCTTTCCCATCCTCAATTTATATGTTATTTTTGTCCTTTTTTGATTCATTTTAAAATGTGGATCCACTTAAAATAAGTATCACTTTCTATGATACTAATTATCCACAAGAAGAATATCCAGTAATAGCATTCAGTGAAGTGATGGATTGATCAGTATCATTCTTTAGAACGAACAACCAAGATCATAACAGGCAGAAAGGGCACACATGGCTTTTTTTTTCACACGTGGCTTTTTTGACTCTAAAAAAAAAGCAAGGATCCACAGAACCAGCCAGAATTCTCTTGGCAAGGGGATGCCCAGTTGGGTTAGGAGGTAATTTTGGGATAAGCCTGGTCAAGGCCTTAGAAGGGAACTCTCAAGGCTCCAAAGGAATTTGCTTACCGACAAAGCACCAGACTGCAAACCGGATCCACGTGATGGTAGAGAGCTTTAGCATAAGATAGATGTTCACCAGCATGGCAAAGGCAGGCACAAAGGGGAGGCAGGGAGCCATGTAGGGTAGCTTCTTGGGGTTCTCTGGTTGCTGCAGGATCACAAACACCAGGGCGCTGATCAGCAGCACCATCAGAACGACTAGAAGGATGGCCCACCAGCTCTGCTCTGAAATGTAGTCAGAACCAAAGATGATGAATGAGCAGAAGACGAACATGAGGATGAAGAGCAGGAGCACGCAGATGGTCACCGTGTGCCCTGTAGCGGCTGTGGGCCGGTCCATCTTGCCCGGAAGGCCCAGCTGGATCCTCATGGTGTAGTAACGGGGCCCAATCAGCTTCTTCAACTTGATGAGATAGATGTTTTCAGATTCATCGGCTTCTATGCCTGTGGTCATGTCCACAGTGCCGTAGTTTGGGTGGTTGACGTTGTAGGTCGACTTGTCTGATTTCCCTATGAGCATCTCATTGTCTCCCAAGGATGGCAGGTTCTTGGCCCCACACGTGTTGGTGGCTGGGCCGGAGAACTCTTCCCCTTCACTCACAGGAGAGCAGCCTTCCTTCTCACAGTCAGCCAGAATACCCTCCTTCTTGGTGTGCTCCTCAGACAGGAATTTGACAAAGCCGTCAATGTCACTCTCGGGCTGGTATCGAAGGAGCAGGACGCAGACGGAGACTAAGGTGTAGGCGAGGAGGGTGCCGATGGACATCATCTCAATCAGGTCTCTCAAGCTGACTAGCAGGGAGAGGAGAGCTGCCAGGAACCCCGAAACGATGCAGGCCACCACGGGGGTCTCTGTGTAGGAGCTCACGTGAGCCAGGAATCTGGAGGAGGGGCAAGCAGAGGGTTAATGGTGATGGATTCAACATGGTTTAACACCTCCTGGTCCTGCTCCTCCAGTTTACTTCTGGATTCACTGCTTTAAATACTGTTGCTGTTCCTACTCCAGGATCTAGTTTCTGAAATATAATTTAAACAGAATCTATTTTAATTCCTTGGGTATGAGGCAAACTGCTCTATTAAAGTGCCTACTTCATTATGTGATGTGGTGGGTTGATGGGATCTAGGAGGTTCTCAGGAAACTAAATTGAAGCCCAGACTTTGCTATGAACAGGAGACAGTTGAAGTCACATACCTGCCTGGTGGCCCTCTCCACCTGTGTTATCCAAAGTATGGTCCATGAATCAGCAGTGTTAGCAACACCTTGGAACTTGTTCGAAATATGTATTTTCAGGTTTTACCTACTATGTCAGACTCTGGGAGTGGGGCCCAACAAACTATACACTTTAAAAAACCTCTAGAGGATTCTGATTTATGCCAAAGCCTGAGAAGCTTGCTCTCCAACGAAAGTACAGGGATTTGGTTGCAAAATAGCACAGTCATTAAGAACATGTGCTTGTGGATGAAAGCTAAATCTGGCCAGTCACTCACTGGAGAAGATAGAGAAGACCAACAAGGGTGACTGAATGACAGGTGCTTGTTTGGCAGGTCCTTAGACTTAGATAGGCTCCCACCTTCCACCTTCCCCTCCTCCTGGCCCTCATTCTTGCTGCTCTTCCAGTCCTCCCTTATTTCCGTGATTCACTCAAGACTATAAACTGCTCAGTGGAGAAGGCAATGGCACCCCACTCCAGTACTCTTGCCTGGAAAAGCCCATGGACGGAGGAGCATGGTAGGCTGCAGTCCATGGGGTCGCGAAGCGTCAGACACGACTGAGCGACTTCACTCTCACTTTTCACTTTTATGCATTGGAGAAGGAAATGGCAACCCACTCCGGTGTTCTTGCCTGGAGAATCCCAGGGGTGGTGGAGCCTGGTGGGCTGCCGTCTATGGGGTCGCACAGAGTCGGACACGACTGAAGCGACTTAGCAGCAGCAGCAGCAGCATCAACTGCTCAGAGCCCTGGCATCTCTCGGTTTTCTTTGACAGCAGAAAGACCTTGTGGATGTGTGAAGTTGTCACATCTCCACCACGATCAGCCTCCAGCTCCCCCAAGCTCTCAGCTCTGACCTCAGAGGGTATGCACAGGAACTGTTGCAGAAGGTGACAGCTGATGGCAGAGGAAAAGTCTCTGAGCTGGGTCCCTCTGAACTCCTGAGACCTTCTTGGCAATTTGCTCCTTGTTTGGTGTACTTGAAGAATGCTTTACCTGCAAGTTCCTCACACAGGAGGCATGAGGCACCAAGAGATGGGGCCACATCCCCTGTGTACCATGTGCAGATAGGCTACTTTCTGCCCAGATTAGGGGACTGGAAGTGTCAGTGTCTTGACGTGGTTAAAAATCTGGTCATTTTGGTCAAATCCTGACCCACCCCTCCAGCACCTGGGAGATTTGGGGCAAGTTTTTGTTTTTTTTTACCTATCTGAGTATTTTCATCTAGTACACTGTTCTGTACTAGATGAAAAACATCTATTTCTGCTTTACTGACTATGCCAAAGCCTTTGACTGTGTGGATCACAATAAACTGTGGAAAATTCTGAAAGAGATGGGAATACCAGACCACCTGACCTGCCT